GCGAAGGCGGCGGGCCTCCGTGCCGGGCCTCGCCCCCTCCCAGCGCACCCTGGTTCGGCAGGGGAGTTGTTTCCTCCTCACCAGTCCGGCCAACGGGTTTCATCTTCCTTATAGCAAACGCTTTAAAATAAACCATAATTAGTGGTGTGGGTTTTTCTTCCTCTCGGCTCCCCCGCCTTGACACGGGGTGTGGGGAGAGGCCCAGGCCCGACCCGCAGAGCTCCCCTCTGCGCCGCCCGGAAAACAGCGGCCGTTGCGTGGGTGGGGGCTCGGGGCAGCTCGAGGCCGGGCCCACCCAGACCTTCAGCGCGTTCCCATCAGACGGGCTTCCCTGCCAGCTGCTGGCGGCTCCCCTTCACCCTAAAAGCGAAGGCCAAGTTGGCCACTGAGCCCTGGGATGGACAGCCGCTCCAGCACGCTGGCCCGGCTGCCTGGCACGCGTCCTGCTCACCCCTGGTGTTGGGGGCTCTGACCCCACACCGGCACGGGCTCTGCCCTGCGCAGCTGGGCTGCATGAGTGTGCACCCACGTCCTGGTTTCAGCTGGGACAGGGTTAATTTTCTTCCAGTAGCTGGCATAGTGCTGTGTTTTGGATTTAGTACCAGAAGAATGTTGATAACACTCTGATCTTTTAGTTGTTGCTGGGCAGTGCTTAGACTGGCCAAGGACTTCTCAGCTCTGCCAGGTGCATGGGAAGCTGAGAGGGGGCACAGCCACGACAGCTGACCCCAACTGGCCAAAGGGCTATTCCAGACCATATGACATCCTGCTCAGTGTATAAGCTGGGGGAAGAAGAAGGAAGGGGGGGACATTCGGAGCGATGGCGTCTGTCTTCCCAAGTCACCGTTACGCGTGATGGAGTCCTGCTTCCCTGGAGATGGCTGAGCACCTGCCTGCCCATGGGAAGTGGTGAATTAATTCCTTGCTTTGCTTTGTTTGTGTGCGTGGCTTTTGCTTTACCTATTAAACTGTCTTTATCTCAACCCATGTGTTTTCTCACTTTTACTCTTCTGATTCTCTCCCCCATCCCATTGTGGGGGGAGTGAGCAAGCAGCTGCATGATACTGAGTTGCCAGCCGGGATTAAACCATGACAACCCACTAAAGGTGTTTCTGGTGGGTCACCTCGGGCTCATCAGCCAGACGTTGATTTTACAATAGGATTTTCTGGGCCAGAAAACTTATAAATATTTTTCCTTCCAGGTAGTGGCCCAGTGGACACCTGTGTCACAAAACCACTGGGAACACTCAAGGGACGGGTTGTCCTTTGGCTAGCAGCATGGCCGAACTGCTTTTCTTCCAAACAGTTCTTGTTGCAGAGTTACCACCAGCAGCCCTCGCCACGTTGTCCTGTCAGCCTTGGGAGGACTTCACTGTACGTCTGGTGCGTGCACCAGCAGGAGACCAGGAGGTTTGCACACAGTGGTGTCTAAAGGTGCCATCTGCTGGAAGAGTGTTTACAGTTGCGAATAAAGTAGCCGCCTGGAATGACAGTGATCTAAAACATGTCAGAAATGGCATCAAACGTTTATAGTTACCAGCTCAGAAGTGTGCCTTGATTGTTTACCCTTAATGAAGAGTTATCATCTCTAATTGGGCATCCTGTGAGGAGGTTGAGGGTTGCGCGCGTATGAGGAAATAAGCCAACCCCATAATGATCACTGTTACTGAGTGACATAACAGCTTCATTTACATCCTGAACAACGCCTACGTGGCTTCTTCTCTCTTGTCCCTTCTCTTTGGGTCGTTTTCCCTCCTTACCTTATTTCTCTGGTAACCTCCCTTTGCGAGGCTGGAGCACGGCTGCCGACTACACCTTTTGTTACAGCGCCCAACAGCATGCAACCCCAGCAAGATGGTTAATGGAGATGCCTTGACATGCCCGATGCTGATAAAAGCTTGCTAATTGTGTGAGCAACTTGCTCGGGTAAACACTGGGAGGCAAAGGCTGCCATGTTTCTGTCTAGAGTTTCCCAGACAGAAGTATGCATGTACATGAACTGGAATATGAGGATGGAGAATTATTAGCTCAATACTTCTGTAAAGCGTTTGGCTTGCCTGCGTGCTACACAAAGATGCCGTCAGTGCAGAGCATAGCTGAGAGTTTTGAGCAGTCTTGACTGCACGTTCACTTCATACACAGCAAAGGCCTTGCACCTGGTTCCAGGCTGCAGTTTGCCTGGAGAAAACGTCTTCTTTTTTAGCCAGAAGATGTTGTCTGGGATGAGTGTATTGTACATTTGTCCAGAATTTCTGGATGTTTAGCAGTTCCATCAGATTTGCATGTAGCTCTGACTGAGCAGCTGTACGTCCAGATATCCTGGGCATTTCCACAACGTCTCCGTAGATCAGGTTGATGCTGTAAAAGCAGCCAAGCTGAGACGTACTGGAAGTTTTGGGCAGATGTGCCCAGATGGGCACATGAAGAGATCTGATCTGCCGGGAGAGGGCAGCCTGACTGCACACCACGGCACAGCTGACACAGAGCAGCGCCCTATTTTTCAGGCTTCAGCAACCCTTTCAATCCAGGGCACGGGTAATTCCTGAATGGGCTGGCAAGCATCCAGTGATCACAGTAATTATCCATTACAATACCTTCCAATTCATCCTGGATACAGAGAAGGCGGGAATATACAAAGAAACCCGAGTACACGGTTATCCGAGACAAGATCTTTGGGCCTGTATTTTACAAGCAGTAATTTTCTTTCAAAGGTGAGCACCAGGGACAGAAAGTGAATTTTTTCTTTACTGTAAATTTCTCCTTTGTTTCCTGGGGGGCGGAGGGCGGGGACGGGACAGGGAAGGATCACATGTGAACAACAGCAAAAGCAGCACGTCTACGCTGTCTGAACCTTTCTTATCAGAAAAGCAGTTAATATGGGTTATATCGTGTTGAAAACACTGCCCAAAACATGTTTGTCTTACCTGGGACCGTGCACCCCCTATACAAATGAAAGGGAGTGCAGTCTGTTAACAGAAATACTTGTTACGAAAGGTGTACCAATCTTCTCCCTTTTTCAGTATGTTTGCTTAGCACAAGGTTAAAAGTGTTAGGACTGTACCGTGACTGAAAATTTGAAGCCTATCTTCATTGTTTAGTGTTGGAGCAGCAAGTAAAAGCCTATTAAAATCTTACCTTTTCTTGGGTCTAATCAACCCCATCAGGGTTCAGATTTGCTGAGTTTTGAGGATATGCTACTGAGTAAGCAAAAAATTTTCTTCCCGTATGAGTTTGAAAATCTATCGGTAGTCTCTATCATCTTACCGCACTCCCATGTTAGCGTGAATCTGATCATTTGAAAAACACATACTGGTCTCTGCTGATATTAATTATACTTCTGCTGATCACCCAGTCATTAGCAAATCTCTTTCAGCTTAGTCAGCACCTCCACAATGACTCACTGCAAGTAGTGTATTGACTCAGTAGGAAGTGACCTCATCGGCCTTGTCAGGGAAGATCTGACAAAAAAAAGTCTAGCAGCAGATTTTGTTTTTGCCTTTCCTTTTTGTCCTTTCCCCAGCCTCAATCCACCATTGTGACTTAGCAATGACACACACACACACACATATATTTATATACACACATACACACATGCATATATTTTTCATTTACCTACTTGT